TGTGCCCCCGCTGTGGGCACGGGGGTGGGCTGACACCAGGGTGATGCTCGTGACACCCGTGGGGTGCAGCCGGGTCACCCTCGGCCCCACAACCCCTCCCCTTGGCCCCACTGGCTGGTGTGGGAGTGTCCAGAGGGGGACATTCAGTGGGTGCCGTGGCCATGGGGGCTGCAGTGGCCACATTGGGGCCGGGCCGAGCCCCTGCCCGTGTGTGGGGCGGGGGAGCAGGAGGGTCTGCGAGCAATTAGGGAGGAGCAGCGGGGTGGGCCGGTGAGTCCCTCTCCCCCCTGGAATGCAGCCAGGGGGGCCCTGGCCGTGTGGTTTCAATCACTGGGAAGGCAGTTTTCCCCTCCCAGGACGTGGGCTGGTGGGGGGCATGGGGAGGGGGGGACCCAGGAGGTGTTTTGGGGGGATGCCGGGGCTGATCCTGCTGCTCCCGCAGGAACGTCCTAGAGCTGATCGAGTTTTTCGAGGAGGAGGAGAGGTTTTACCTGGTGTTTGAGAAGATGAGGGGAGGTGAGTGCAGTGCCAGGGTCAGGGGGAGCCGGGGTGGGGTGGCAGGACCCCCACGAGCCCCTGCTCTGCTCTCCCCTGGCCACAGGCTCCATCCTGACCCACATCCACCGGAGACGCCACTTCAACGAGCTGGAGGCCAGTGTGGTGGTGCGGGATATCGCCAGCGCCCTGCACTTCCTGCACAACAAAGGTGAGCCCCTGGGACACCCTGGGGTGCCCTGGGCCCTCCCAGGGGTGTCACTGCCCCCCCCAGCCCCCTGCCCAGGGGACGGTGCCCGGCCCAGTCCGGCCCAGCTGCATCACGCGGCTCCTCGTGGTGCGGATCCTGTTCCTCCGGTTCGTTGGGACTCGGGGCCAGCAGCGATTTCTGCCCTCTGCCAGGGTGTGCAGGCAGGGATTTGGGGTGGGGAGGGAGGGGTCCCTGTGCCACCCCCAGACCTTTCACTGTGGGGCTCTTGCAGGGGGGGATTTTTGCCCTCATTGGCTCTTCTGCCCCCCCAGGGATCGCACACAGGGATCTGAAACCAGAAAATATCCTGTGTGAGAGCCTGGACCAGGTGAGAGGGAGCAGCTGGGGTGGGTGCAGGGGGTGCTGCCTGGGGGTGAGGGGGTGCAGGAGGGTGTGTCTGGGGGTGATGGACACGGTGGGGATGCTGCTGAGCGGGGTAGTGGTCTCAGGGGGTGCAGCCCCAGGGACAGCCCCCAGATGCTGCAGCACAGGGTGGTGTGAAGCACGACAAGCCCAGGCATTGACCATCGACCAAGCCTGGAAGCACGGGCTGTGCTCCTTGGGGGGAATGCTGGGGTGGGGGGTGGTCACCAACCACTCCTTCTCCCCACCCTCAGGTCTCCCCGGTGAAGATCTGCGACTTCGACCTGGGAAGTGGCATCAAACTGAACGGCGACTGCTCCCCCATCTCCACCCCGGAGCTGCTCACCCCGGTCAGTGCTGGGGGGGGCTGAGGGGGGTCAGTCCCTTGGGGGGGGGTCGGTCAGTCCCTTGGGGAAGGGTCCTGCAGGTTTCGGGGCTGGGGCTGTGAGTGGACACCCCCGCGCTGATGCTGCGTGTCCCCCCCTCGTCCCCCCCGCGCTGTGGCAGGAGAGATGCGGTTACATAACGCGGGGGGGCCGGGGGGGCTGGCGCGGTGCCCGGGCTGCCTGAGCTCGGAGAGCCTGAGCTCGGTGTGAGCCTGAGCTCGGTGTGAGCCTTAGCAACAGCCCGAGCGCGGCGGGGCCGGCGCGGCGGCTGCGCCCGCACAACTGGGTCAGGAGCGGGGCTGGGGGGGCTGCGGGAGCCGCCGCCACTCCTGGGCTGGGCCCCCCCCCCGGGGGGGGCACCCCCCCCCCCCCCCGCCCCCCCGGGGGGCCCCCCCGTGCGCCGCGGCCCCCCCCCCCCCCGCTCTTATCTGCGGCGGCAGGTCCCCGCCCTGGGCAGGGTGTTCCCCCGCACTCCGGGATTTTTGGGGTGTGCACGTGCTGGGGGAGGCGCAGCCCGGCTGGTGTGGGGGCACAACAACACAGATGGGGGTCAAAGCGCCCCGGACCCCCTCGTTCCGCCCTGTGCACCCTCCTCCTGGGGCGGGACCTGAGCCTGGGAGGTGTCCCGAGTCCCCCGTTCTCAGCCCGAGGGGGGTGGTTGCCCCATTCCCGGCGGGATCAGCCCTGCCGTGGAGTTGGCTGCCCCGTTCCCGGTGGGATCAGCCCTGCCGCGGTGCCGGGGCTCGGGGCCGTGTGCGGGGGTTGTTTTGCTGCGGTGCCATCGCTGCCGGGGCTGGGGAGGCCCCCGCTCGGAGGCCCCTCTCGTTCCGGGGTGATTATCTGCTGGCTGCAGCTCTTTTCTCCCCCTGGTCACGAGGCCCGTGTGGGCTGCGGGTCATGTGCTGGAAAGCCCCAGAGTCCCTGGAGCGATCGGGGAAGGGCTGGCGCTGCCTCCCCTTCCCGCGGGGTTAACTCCTCCCGCCCCGGAGCCTCCGCCTGCTCCGGCTGCGCTGCCTGGAACGGGGAGAGTCGGGCAGGGGAACAGGCAGGGGGAACAGGCAGAGCAGGATTGTCCCTCCGTGTCCTGCAGCCTCTCCCAGGCGATGGAGCGGCCGCTGCCCTGCTGAGCCGGTTGGGTGGCGGCGGTGCTGTGGGGTGTGGGTGCTGTGGGGTGTGGGTGCTGTGGGGTGT